AGGCAAAAGTAAAGCCTCTATGAACAAATGTTACCAAGAAAACCCCATGTTACATCAGAAACAACAACATCAAGCAAATACTATGAGGCCATAATTCAGAAGCTGCTAAATTGCGATGAGCAAAAATGCACATGCAGACAACAAAAGCAATCATGGAAAATATGGCCTGAGTCAAGGAATATATGGTCACTTTATTTAAAAAAACATATATAGGACTAAGAAGAGTTCAGAAAAGGAAACTAAAAATCCCTTTGAAATTAGAAAGTGGGTTTATCTACAAGTGGAGTTTTTGGATTTCAGATTTTGCATGTTTTTACATATATGTACAAAATAACATATACTGGAGATGGGACCAAGTCTAAAGGCATTCATTTATGCCTTATATACACCTTATACACATAGCCTAATGTTAATTTTACACAACATTACTAATAACTTTGGATATGAAGTTTGTCTATGCTGAACCATCAAGAAAACGAGTGTACCTATCCCAGTCATCAGGTGTCCAGTTTTGTTGTACTGTAGGCCCCATCTACATGATGATAGATACATATACAAAGACATTGCCAGACAAGTGGATGAATAAATGATATATAGAAGTAAGACAGAGACATACATGTGTATATATATATAGATTGCCCTTGGGCTCCCATCCCTTAAGATTATTTTTAGCACTATTTATATTTAATCTGGTTTTAATATTTGCACATTTGTATATTTTAAATTAACCCCCCCCCCCCCCCCACGGTGGCAAAAAGGGTTAAATCACTGAGATGCTGAACTTGCTGACCGAAAAGTTGGCAGTTCGAATCTGGGGAGCGGGTGAGCTCCCACTGTCAGCCCCAGTTTCTGCCAACCTGACAGTTCAAAAACATGCAAATGTGAGTAGATCAATAGGTCTACCTTCTGAGGGAAGATAATGATGCTCCATGCAGTCATGCTGGCCACATGACTTTGGAGGTGTCTATGGAAAACACGGGCTCTTCACCTGAAAAATTGAGATGAGCACCAACCTCCAGGGTCAGACACAAGAAGACTTAATGTCAAGGGAAGCCTTTACCTTTACTATATACTGTGAACCACCCTGAGTACCCTTTGCAATTGAGAATGGCAGTATACAAATTCTGCAAATAAATAAATAAATATTTTAAATTGTATGCTAATGCTTTTGTGTTAAGCCACTTTGAGTCTCCTTTGGGAGAAATAAAGCGGGATATAAATATTATAATAATAATACATTAATTTTCTTTTATGTATGGTGATTTGGTTTTGTTTTGATTTGATTTAACCTTTTTTGGATTGTAAGTGTGGCTGATACTACGCACATTTTTTCCTCTTGTAAGCTGCCCCGAGTCCCCTTGGAATGAGGGAGCTGGATTTAAATAAAGCTTTATTATTATTATTATTATTATTATTATTATTATTATACTGACCATTTAATAGCTTCAAACTGTGATGACAAGACAAGAAACTCCCACAGAAGTGTGCAAAATACAAGCCCTTAATGCACGTCAGTGCTCTGTGGTTTATCTGTGGTTTATTGATTTTATTGATTTTATTGATATATGAATTAGTGTGATGTAATTGTGTACTTGTTTAACTTTGTGTCTTGATTGTTTTGTACTGCAGGCATCGAATCGTGCCTTGCTTCTGTAAGCCGCCCTGAGTCCCCTTCGGGGTGAGAAGGGCGGGGTAAAAGAACCCCAAATAAATAAATAAATAAATAAATAAATAAATAAAATATTTAATCACAATCTGGGCCTCAAAAAAAGTGGTTCTAGAATTTCCCATGTAATCATCTACATAGCAAAACCACTTTCTTCGCCGCTGGTCTGAAACTGCATTAAGTTGGATAGTATGATAGCTGGGTCCAAGAGCTCTGAACGTTATGGAGATGCTGCAAAGGCAGCTGTGAATAAGGGAAGAGAGGGGGTGGAGTGAGAGCGGGGAGAGCGAAGGAAGGTTAGAAAGGAGGGGATGCTTAGGGAAAGGGTTAGGGCAAGGTTTAGGGTTTGGGTTAGGGTTACGATTAGGGGTTATGTTTAGGGTACGGTTTAGGGTAAGGGGTTAGGATTAAGCTTACTGTACAGTTCAGGGTTAGGATAAGAGTTAGGGCAGGGGTCCTCAAACTTTTTAAACAGAGGGCCAGGTCACAGTCCCTCAAACTGTTGGAGGGCCGGATTATAATTTGAAAAAAATATGAATGAATTCCTATGCACACTGCTCATATCTTATTTGTAGTGCAAAATACACTTTAAAACAATACAATAATTAAAATGAAGAACAATTTTAAAAAATATAAACTTGTTAGTATTTCAATGGGGAGTGTGGGCCTGCTTTTGTCTGATGAGATAGGATTGTTGTTGTTGTGTGCTTTCAAGTCGTTTCAGACTTAGGGTGACCCTGAGCAAGGGCCAGGTAAATGACCTTGGAGGGCTGCATCCAGCCCCCAGCTCTTAGTTTGAGGGCCCCTGGGTTAGGGTTTCACCATTAAAGAACTCTTGCATTCCTTCTATATTACGTGTCTCCTGCCTGGCTTACATTAGCTAAGTCTCTCTTGCGCAGGCAAAGCTACCGAAGGAACAATGCGGCATCTCCGTAATGCTCGGAACTTCCAGACCCAGCTATCATACTATTACCCATTAAGTCAGGGGTCCCCAAATTAAGGCCCGGGGGCCGAATACGGCCCTCCAATGTCATTTACCTGGCCCTCACTCAGGGTCAACCTAAGTCTGAAATGACTTGAAAGCACACAACAACAACAACAACAACAACAACAACAACAACAACAACCCTATATCATCAAAAGCAGGCCCACAGTTTCCATTGAAATACTAATATGCTTATATTTGTTAAAATTGTTCTTCATTTTAATTATTGTATTGTTTTTAAGTGTTTTTGTTCTACAAATAAGATATGTACAGTGTGCATAGGAATTCATTCATTCATGTTGTTGTTGTTTTTTCAAATTATAATCTGTCCCTCCAACAGTTTGAGGGACTGTGACCTGGTCCTCTGTTTAAAAAGTTTGAGGACCCCTGCATTAAGTAGTCAGTGTAGATCAGGCATGGGCCAACTTAGGCCCTCCAAGTGTTTTGGACTTCAACTCCCACAATTCCTAAGAGCCTCAGGCCCTTTCCTTAAGCGGCTGAGGGGGGAAAGGAAGGGGCCTGAGGCTGTTAGGAATTGTGGGAGTTGAAGTCCAAAACACCTGGAGGGCCCAAGCTGGCCCATGCCTAGTGTTGATGGTCCCTTTCTGGAATTCTGAGTAAGAGGTGCTAAAGCTGTATTTCAACTACTTCACAACAACCCTAGTATTTGTAGTTTACGAGCAGCTACTGAACTGTCGAAGGTTTTCATGGCCGGAATCACTGGGTTGTTGTAGGTTTTTCGAGCTATATGGCCATGTCTAGAGCAGGGGTCCTCAAACTTTTTAAACAGAGGGCCAGGTCACAGTCCCTCAAACTGTTGGAGGGCAGGATTATAATTTGAAAAAAAATGAATGAATTCCTATGCATACTGAACATCTCTTGTTTGTAGTGTAAAAAAACACTTAAAACAATACAATAATTAAAATGAAGAACAATTTTAACAAATATAATGAAACATTTGATTATGGTTTTGGACATCCTTCAATTTACACAAATTGGGTTTTTGCAGTTGTCCATGCCTGTGTATGTAAAATAGTCAGAAAGCTCTAGTCATAAGAGAGTACTTTGTTGCCTTCTCCCATTCTTGTTTTCTTTTTTATTGATGTAATATCAAGATGTATTTGGACATACTCTGAAATCATCTTGATCATGAAGATACATTTCTTGCCTTGCAAGGAATCTCCCCCCCCCCAAAAAAAAATACATTGGCATTTAATTTTTTTTTTTGCATATGATATGGGGGTGGGAGTAGCTGATGACACTATTGCTGCTAGCTAGATAGACACAGTTCTAGTTAGGAATAGTTTGCATGGATTTTCCTTTGAAAGTGTCTTAAACTCGAGTGAATGGTATAATATGTTATACTTACTTTGTACAAGTTGCTGTCTACATACAGATCTAGACATGTTCCAGTATTTCTGAATGTATATTTTCTGATTATATATGAGATTATGTCAAATAATTAATTTAAAAAATATTTAAAATATTTAAGAAAAAGAAAGAAAGAAAGAAAGAAAGAAATAGGATACAAATGTTATATAGTATGTTAATTTATAAGGTTAATCTCAAAAAGGATTAATATGTAAAAGAAAACAATCCTCGTGGTGGTGGGAACTATAAATGTTGTGTATGTATTAAAATAAACATATATAATAAAAAAGAACAATTTAACAAATATAAACTTATTAGTATTTCAATGGGAAGTGTGTACCTGCTTTTGCCTGATGAGATAGGATTGTTGTTGTTTTTGTGTGCTTTCAAGTCGATCCAGACTTAGGTTGACCCTGAGCGAGGGGGCAAATGACCTTGAGGGCCGTATCCGGCCCCGGGCCTTAGTTTGAGGACCCTGGTCTAGAGGCCTCTTCCTGGTCATTCCACAGATATATAAACCCTTTTTCCTAGTTCCATCAGACCTCACTACCTCTGAGGATGCTTGCCATAGATGCAGGCGAAACGTCAGGAGAGAATGCATCTAGACCATGGCCATATAGCCTGAAAAACCTACAACAACCCAGCTACTGAACTGCCTTCCTTAATGAAGGGACTTCTTCCCAGACTACATTTCCCAGAATCCTCTGACAAATAAACAGGAACTGAAAGAAAACAAGAGGCAGGGCCGCTGTTCAGAGCAAAGCCCCTTCCTTGGAAAATAGAGACTGGCCCTGACTGATCCTGGAGGCTGCGTTTCCTCACAGAGAGAGGGGCAGAGGCCTAAAAAAGACGATGCCATCCGCATCCTACACTGCAGAAGAGGAGGGAGGCCTGCCTCTTCTAAGGCAAAATCCCTTTAAATAGGAAGGAGAGGAGGAGAGAAAATCCCCGCTTGAGAAGGAAGGGAAAGGGACCCACAGCCAGGCCGGGCCTTTCACCTGCTCGAGCAGCGCCTTGCGCTGGCGGCGCCTCTCTTCCTTTTGCGCCGCCAAGCTCCGCTCGCTTACAAACCCGGACGCCATGTTTCTTAGGGGAAAAGGCGACGCTCTGCCGTAAAGCAACCAGGAGCCGGAAAGTAGCCGGCTGGCGCAAAGAGGCGTAAAAGGGGAAAAAAGCAACCTAGCGCTAGAATAGACTGTCTTCTCAGAGCGCATGCGCATTTCGTGCTTAACAGGTGTGAAAAGAAAAAGGAAAGGGCCTGTGTTGGTTTCTACCAATTTTGAAGAAAGAAATTCGAAAACGAGCTAAAAATGTATACCATTTGCTAGCTACCAGTATTTACAAAAAAACTCCCAAGCTGCGAACCTGCGCCTTCAGGGGGAGTGTGACCCCGTCAAGCACAGGCTGTAACCCTATGCCCTGTTGTATTTTGTGCATTTCTGTTGGCCAATAAAGACAGTTATTTTGTAGATTTGGGATTTTGATGCATGGTCATCCAACACAGTTACCCTGAATTTCTACCTATTTCCATTTCTCATCACATCTATTTAACCTCAGCAGACTGAAAGCCAAAACCAAGGTCACAACATCTGTTACAGAACTCCAATATGCTGATGACAACGTCATCTGTGCGCATTCAGAAGACCTGCAAGTGGATGGCGAAGGTGGCCAACTTACAGAGATTTGTTAAATAAAAATACGAATGATATAAAACCTTGTTGTTGTTGTTCATTCGTTCAGTCGTCTCCGACTCTTCGTGACCTCATGGACCAGCCCACGCCAGAGCTCCCTGTCGGCCGTTACCACCCCCAGCTCCTTCAAGGTCAGTCCAGTCACTTCAAGGATGCCAGCCATCCATCTTGCCCTTGGTCGGCCCCTCTTCCTTTTTCCTTCCATTTTCCCCAGCATAATTGTCTTCTCTAAGCTTTCCTGTCTCCTCATGATGTGGCCAAAGTACTTCATCTTTGCCTCTAATATCCTTCCCTCCAATGAGCAGTCGGGCTTTATTTCCTGGAGGATGGACTGGTTGGATCTTCTCGCAGTCCAAGGCACTCTCAGAACTTTCCTCCAACACCACAGCTCAAAAGCATCTATCTTCCTTCGCTCAGCCTTCCCTAAGGTCCAGCTCTCACATCCGTAGGTTACTACAGGGAATACCATGGCTTTGACTAGGCGGATCTTTGTTGCCAGTCTGATGTCTCTACTCTTTACTATTTTATCGAGACTGGACATTGCTCTCCTCCCAAGAAGTAAGCGTTCTTCTGATTTCCTGGCCACAGTCTGCATCTGCAGTAATCTTTGCACCTAGAAATACAAAGTCTGTCACGGCCTCCACGTTCTCCCTCTATTTTCCAGTTGTCAATCATTGTTGTTGCCATAATCTTGGTTTTTTTGACGTTTAGCTGCAACCCGGCTTTTGCGCTTTATTCTTTCACCTTGATTAGAAGGCTCCTCAGCTCCTCCTCGCTTTCGGCCATCAGAGTGGTGTCATCTGCATATCTGAGGTTGTTAATGTTTCTTCCAGCAATTTTCACCCCAGCCTTGCATTCATCCATGCCCCGCACATCGCATGATGTGTTCTGCATACAAGTTGAATAGGTTGGGGGAGAGGATACAACCCTGCCGTACGCCTTTCCCAATCTTGAACCAGTTCTTACTGTTCTTACTGGTCAGTTCTTACTGTTGCTACTTGGTCCTTGTACAGATTCCTCAGGAGAGAGACAAGGTGGCTTGGGATGCCCATCCCACTAAGAACTTGCCACAATTTATTATGATCCACACAGTCAAAGGCTTTAGAATAGTCAATGAAGCAGAAGTAGATGTTTTGCTGAAACTCCCTGCCTTTCTCCATTATCCAGCGGATATTGGCAATCTGGTCTCTCGTTCCTCTGCCTTTTCTAAACCCAGCTTGAACATCTGGCAACTCTCGCTCCATGTATTGCTGGAGTCTTCCTTGCAGGATCTTGAGCATTACCTTACTGGCATGAGAAATAAGGGCCACTGTACGGAAGTTTGAGCAGTCTTTCGCATTTCCCTTTTTTGGTATGGGGATATAAGTTGATTTTTTCCAGTCTGATGGCCATTTGTGTTTTCCATATTTGCTGGCAAATGGCATGCATCACCTTGACAGCATCATCTTTTAAGATTTTAAACAGTTCAGCTGGGATCCCGTCGTCTCCTGCTGCCTTGTTGTTAGCAATGCTTCTTAAGGCCAATTCAACCTCACTCCTCAGGATGTCTGGTTCTAATTCATTCACCACACCGTCAAAACTATCCTCAATATTATTATCCTTCCTATACAGATCTTCTGTATAGTCTCGCCACCTTCTCTTGATCTCTTCAGCTTCTGTTAGGTCCCTGCCATCTTTGTTTCTTATCATACCAATTTTTGCCTGAAATTTACCTCCAATGTTTCTAATTTTCTGGAAGAGGTCTCTTGTCCTTCCTATTCTGTTGTCTTCTTCAACTTCCATGCATTGCTTATTTAAACAATAGTTCCTTATCTCTTCTGGCTAACCTCTGGAATTGCGCATTTAACTGGGCATATCTCCCCTTATCCCTGTTTCCTTTTGCTTTCCTCCTTTCTTGGGCTACTTCCAGTGTCTCAGCAGACACCATTTTGCCTTCTTGGTTTTCTTTTTCTTTGGGACGTACTTTGTTGCCGCCTCCTGAACAATGTCGCGGACTTCTGTCCATAGTTCTTCTGGGACTCTGTTTTACTAAATCTAGTCCTTCAAATCTGTTCTTCACTTCCACTGTATATTCGCTAGGAATGTTAGTGAGATCATATCTAACTGGTCTGTGTATTTTCCCTGATCTCTTTAGTTTTATTTTAAATTGAGCAATAAGAAGTTCGTAATCTGAGCTACAGTCAGCCCCAGGTCTTGTTTTCACCGACTGGATGGATGTCCGCCACCTTTGGCTGCAAAGGATGTAGTCAATCTGATTTCGGTGTTGACCATCTGGTGAAGTCCATGTATAAAGCCGTCTTTTAGGTTGTTGGAAGAGCGTGTTTGTTATGAACAGTGAGTTTTCCTGGAAAAATTCTATCAGCCTGCGTCCCGCTTCATTTTGTTCTCCCAGACCATGCTTGCCTGTGATCCCAGTTGTCATTTGACTTCCCACCTTGGCATTCCAGTCTCCTGTAATGAAAATAATGTCTTTTTGGTGTATTATCCAGTAGGTCCTGCAGATCCTCATAGAACTGATCTACTTCTGCTTCTTCAGCAGCTGTGGTTGGGGCATATATTTGGATCACTGTAATGTTGAAAGGCTTTCCTTGCACTCGAATTGAGATCATTCTGTCATTTTTTGGGTTTACGAGGAGCTAAAACAGACATCCTCTAATATTACATGGCTGCATTATATGCAGATTAAAAACTATGATAACCAAGATAAAAAGTTGGGCTTTAATTGGGAAGAAGGGGCCTGGGACAAGATTGGCCTGTCATTGAACATCGAGAAAACCAAAGTGCTCCTTCAGCAGTTACCAACTAATCCCTCTGCAATGCCAGAAATACAGCTTAATGTTGATAATTTCTGCTACCTTGGCAACCACCTCTCTGTAAAAGTCAGCATTGACACTGAAATCGAACACTGCCTGAGCTCTGCAAGTGCAGCATTTTCCTGAATGAAGCAGAGAGAGTTTGAGAACCGGACACCTGTAGGGAGACCAAGGTGCTATGTTATAAAGCCATTGCCCTCCCAAGCCTGCTATATGCCTGCAAAACATGGACTTCCTACAGACGTCACACTCAATTCCTTGAACGATTCCATCAGCGTTGCCTCTGAAAAATCCTGCATATGTCTTGGGAAGACAGGCAAAAAATGTCAGCCTGCTGGAAGAAGCAAAGACCACCAGCAATGCTCCTACACCATCAACTCTGCTGGACTGGCCACGTTGTCCAAATGTCTGATCATCATCTCCCAAAGCAGTTACTAACTCAAAAACAGGAAACATAATGTTGGTGTACAGGAAAAGAGCTTTAAAGATGGGCTTAAAGCCAACCTTAAAAACTGTGGCATAGACACCGAGAATAAAAATGTGGCATAAACACCAAGAACACTTGAGCGCTCTAACTGGAGGTCAGCTATGACCAGCAGTGCTGCAGAATTCAAAGAGGCACGGATGGAGGGCTAAAGAGAGAAACATGCCAAGAGGAATGTATGTCAAGCCAACCCTGACCGGGACCATCTTCCACCTGGAAACCGATGTCCTCACTGTGGGAGAACATGTGGATCAAATATAGGGCTCCACAGCCACCTACGGACCCAACACCAAGACACTACACTTAGAGGAACATCATCCTCGGGCAACGAGGGATTGCCTAAGTAAGCAAGTATATCTAGTTGAGCATTGCATTTACACTGTGGCCAACTAAATACTTTGCAGAAGCCTCACAAGTTCAATAAGTTCAATAGCATGGCCCTCTTGCTTTTATACAGGCAATGACAATGCAAGTGTATTTATTTGCTTCCAACATTAGAGGACAAGCAGGTTTTCTCCTGTTCCACTTTGGAGTCCAAGGGCCAAAAGAGAGCTCTTGTTCCAACCTTTCCTATGAAGTTTAGCAGGAATGTTCTGGAAGCAGCAGGTTCTCATCTTTGAGAATGGTTTTTCCCCTTAACAGATTTTCATTCTGCCCTGCCCATCTGTCATCATAAACTCAGGCTGAGATTCTCACTGTTTCCAAACCAAGAGAACATTAATCCCCCTGAAGTATAAGCAAATATTACAGTGGGAGGTTGATGGCAGTAAACATTGTGAAGCATTCTCTATGTAAAAAACATTCACATTGGCATATTCAGCATTTCCTTTCCTTTTTTGTTGCTCCATTCCGTAATTCATCTTTAAACAATTTTCCTTGCAAAAACAAATTCATTATTTTCCCTTGCACAATGTGCATATATAAAATATATCTTCCTTGGCATCTCAGTTTACTCAGATAGAAGATGAGACTGGAAAAATTAGACTTCTCTTATTTCAAACTAATTATTTGTTTTGTGAAAAGGCAGTCATTTATATTCTGTGTCCTCTTAAAGGCTGACTTTCAAAAATATTTAAGCAAGATTTCCGTCTTGTCATTTTCCTATGGCAGTTGTCTTCTCTTCAAACATTTTCACTTGCATCG